AGATTCTGACTGACGTCCAGATGGCGGACACTACTGGGTAGCAAAGCTACGTCTAGGTTAGAAAGTTTGTTTCTGGAAAGGCCGAGTCTGTTCAGCGCCTGAAAGCCGGAAAGATCAGGTTGCCATTCTAAACTGCAGTCCGATAAATCTAGGTCGATCAGATTCACAAGCTGATCCAACGACCTCAGCCAGCACTGAGACCACCGAATACATTTAGAGAACAAATCCACATTCGAGTTCAGATAAAAATGCTGCAACAACGGTAGGCCAGCAAGTAAATCGGGCTCCAGGCCCGTCAGAGCATTGCTCGAGAGATCCAGAAGCACCAACGAAGGCAGTACAGGGTGCGTAAACTGCGACAGCTTGTTATGGGACATGTTGATCGAGCGAATCTGCATACCAATACTGGGGAAGGAGTGCGCCGACAAATTGGCTAGTAGATTGTGCGAGATGTCCAAATGCTGCAGCTGCGGGTAATGTGCCAGAGCATTCTTGGGCAACCAGCGAATCCTATTGGAAGCTAGCGAAAGCGTGAGCAACTGAGTTAGTGCAATTCCAGGCGGTGGCTCAACCCAGAAGGCCAATTCATTTCGCTCGAGGAAGACAGCTTCCAGTGAACTGGCACCCAAAGAAACCTCTCTCAAATGATTACCATTTGCCTTCAGATAACGAATGGTGCAGTGGCTAGGGATGATGAGGCTATGCAGAGTGGTATATGACACATCCAGCGATTCCAGGCGCTCGCCGCACCACTGCCACGAGTGATTGGTGTGAGGGAAAATAGTGGACGCAATGTTCAGATGGCGTACCAGGCTAGAGAGGCGTAACCAATCCGGGAATGAACTAGGAAGTTTCACGGTCCCGAGATCTAACGTACTCACGTTGTTCAGAGCACGAAGCAGCGAGGGCTGTAAGCTAAGCTCCTCCTGCGCTGAAAGGTCCAGCGTGCGCAGGATGGACCACTGCTCCGCCGGGATGCGTAAGCTGCGACAGCTCTGAGAGCTCGTGCAGATGGTACTGGGCAGGAAAGTGATCGCGGTCTCATTGATCGTTTGCATGTTCAGATCGGCCAGATATAGTTGCCGTGCCAATGGAAGCCGGGCGACGGCGGAGCTGCTCTGCACCGGGTTGCCCTCCAGGCTTAATTGCTCCAGAATGTGGTTCCGCGGGAGCATTTCAGTAATTGCATCCAAATCCCGAATCAGATTGCGAGCCAGGTTAACAACTCTCAGCTTGCTGAGGTCAAAGAAACATTCGACCGGCAAATTGGTCAGCAAGTTATCCGCCAAATGTAGGCTTTCCAGATTCGGTAGCGAGGAGAGCGACAGGGGGTGCACGTGGCTCAGACCGCAGAAGTTGACCCGAAGGGATCTGATATTTTCATTGTACGCGAAATGTGGTAAATGTCGCAGTGACATGTGGTGGAAATGAAGCATCTGCGCCCACGGCGGTGCAACAACCGATCGCAGAAGTATATTATATCCGGTACAGGTTACTGTATGCGAATGACGCTCGCAGTGACAGTACTCGCATATGTCCGTGCATCCGATATGCCCAGCTAAAAAGCACAATGAAAATAGCAGTTGTATGTGCATGTTACTTACTGTATTATGCAAATTCTTCGGTATAGTTTAAGAACGGTTGAGATGTTAGGCAGTGAATCGGATCTGTCCACAAACATTCAGACAGCTGAACACAGAAGAATGCAAGAAACTAGGCCAGCGCATCTGGCTAATGCGCATAATGAGCACGGCCGACATTTGATAGTAGACTAGCTAGCGGTGAAATCTGCCCCAACAACAATACCAGAAGCAAAGTTACGCAATTTGCAGCAAATAATAGTGCATAATGAGCTTGGAAGCGAGCGCAGTTACTGCTCACCCGTAGCAGCAATAGTCCGAGAAGGCAGAACTTCAGTAATAATAAATTGTGGTGGACGCGATTTCGAGGATAAGAAGTCACTAATCAAATCAAAATCAGAGGCCTGCCGCGCTGCTACGCTCTGCTACTTCCAGGCTCATGCTGGTCCTGGGCCAGCCAGTGGCCATCAGTCTTGCCCCTGCCACATCCTAATCCTTGCAAAGGCATCTGCCCTCCGACTAAAAGTTAGGTCTTAGCGGCGCTGAGCTGGCCCACCCTCAGTTTTGTGAGAAGCACCTCTAATAACGTCACTATTCCTCTAAAAAAGAGTCTTCGGACTGTGTCCAGAATTTTAACTGTTAGTGCTCACTCTGTGTGCAGCTGACCTCGCCGCAGGAATGAAGTAGGCGGTTACTACAGCCCATTGCTCACTGGAAGAATACAGCGAATGCAAGCAAGGAGGCTGCCCTCCTATGCATAATAAAGCGCCCTACCGGCACTAACGAGCCGAATTCCAAAATATAGTTGTTAAAACGCTTCGGGAATTAAATGCGGCAGCGAAAAGCCAAATGTAAAATGTTACGAAGCTTTGCACGAAATGATAATTTCAGTGACAGATACTACTTGCGCTATGCTGATCGGTGCTATTTTATCGTAACTGGTTTTTTCTCGCCAACGTGCAGCTGAATTAATTTGCCATTTCTTAGTTTGGCCCCTTTGATCTCTATAACTTCACATAGGCATATCAACAAATCTTTCCACTGTGCTAGTAGTCACTTTGTGAGGGCTTAATCCGTTTCAAGATGCATTGATAATTACAAATATTAAAAAGCAAGCTAAAAGATCATGATATTCTTTGAATACTGCGAATTTTTCAGTCGCTTATCAAACCTCTGCAACTTTTGTTTCAGACAGTTGCCATCAAGAAACGCAAGCTGTTATTTCTTGGTTAACTGTTCTTCAGTGGAAGGAAGGCAGTCCATCAGTGGCTAATTACATGTTTTAGAGGAGATACATCACAAATCAAAACGAAATTAAAATGAAACCCACTCTGGAATGCCCAGGCTTACTAGGCTTAGGCTCAGGCTTATCACACTTTTTTGCATCCGACTTGAAGTACTCAGGTCGTTAACCTCACTAATGGTCGTTGCCTTACACCTACCTTTTGCGCTCTCTAGCGTAAATCATCGTAAATTTTGCATAAAGGAGAACAAACAATTCCCGTTTAACGGTCGTTCTTTGAAAGTAACCTAGCTGTTCAGTGAGTAATTTTCCCGCCAGAACTTTTAGGTGCCTGAACGTGAGAATCGTGCATACTTGGGAGGTCGAGCTTGAAATATTTAAGTTATATTTGGACAGTGAAGATTCCTTTAAATTTTCACCTTTTAGGCTTTTGTGGTCCTCGAATTGGTAATTTTCTCGCCAAAACTTTCACGTTCCCGTACATGAT